GATCACTTGAGCCCAGGAGCTGGAGGCTGCAGTGAGCTTGATCACTGTGTCACCTACTGCACTCCAGCTGGGATGACAGAATGAGACTCCGTTTCTAAAATTAAAAAATAAAAAAGAATAATAAGATTAGTACAGGTGAGAACAAGCATTACCTAGGTAATAAACAGGTTGGTAGATAGTAACAGGGGAAGGGTGCAAGGGTTTCAAGGGTAACTGGAGAAGCCATCTTACAGAGGTGAGACTCAAGTTGAGAATTAGAAAATGAGAAGGACTGATCCGTGTGAAGAGCGCAGGGAGAATTCCAGGTAGGGGCAGCAAGCGCAGCAGCTCCTAGATGGGTCAGGGCTTTGTGTTCACCCACCAGGAAAGAGACGAGTGTGGCTGTCCCTGTGGACAGGCAGGGCAAGGTGAGGAGTGCACATTGTACTCTAACACGGTGGGAAGCCTGGAAGAGTTTCCATCAGGAAGTCTTATGACCTGGACACTTCAGATGATTCTGATGAACAGACTAGGGAAAGACACTTTGGGAGGCTCTTTCAAGGCCCTGGTGAGGGGGGATGGAGGTGGAGCAGGAGAGCCATGCGCGGATCCCTTTAGCCCCAATGTTGTCCATAGCCTCCAGCAGTGTCAGGCTTGAAGGCAATACATATCACACACACACACCGGTAGAGTGCCTACCATGTGCCAGGTGTTGTACTTTACTTCCGTTCGTTTCATCTCCCTAATGTCCCTATTTAATATTTTCATTCTGTAAATTAAGAAACCTCAGAGAAACTGATTTTAAAATCAGAATCCTACCAATGCTGCAACCGATGGTCTGGTCTGCACAGCTCTGCAGGTAGAGCGGCTCATCAGTGTGTATTGCATGGCAAAAAAAAGGAGCCCCTGGTCTGAGGAGCCTCTGGTCTGAGGAGCCTGTTGCGCCGAGCATGGGAGGATCTTTTGGCCCAAAATGATACCCCTGCCTGTGAATCAGAGGAGAATTTTCGCCCTATAGGACCTAGAAGTCTCAGCTAAGCTAGAGATTAATGACCTTGGGGGATGAAAACACATTTTGTCAGTGTCAGGTTTATATCAGCAGGGCCCACCCTGTGCTCCTAAGTCACACCTCACAGGAATGGGACGCAGAAAGGTTGCATTTAGAAGGAAGGGAATAGTTCTAGAAAATGAGTGTGGACATTGAAGATCCCAAGATCCATAGGGATGATGGATGCTGGCAAGGACCATGGTCACAATATAATTAACAGATACCAATAAGAATGCCTAGCATTTATTGAGTGCCTACTGTATACTAAGTGTTGAGTAAATGTTCCAGAGCCATTATCATATTGTGGTATTTCTTTTTATTTTTTTTATTTATTTTTTATTTTTTTTTGAGACAGAGTTTCGCTCTTGTTACTCAGGCTGGAGTGCAATGGCGCGATCTCGGCTCACCGCAACCTCTGCCTCCTGGGTTCAGGCAATTCTCCTGCCTCAGCCTCCTGAGTAGCTCAGATTACAGGCACATGCCACCATGCCCAGCTAATTTTTTGTATTTTTAGTAGAGACGGGGTTTCACCATGTTGACCAGGATGGTCTTGATCTCTTGACCTCGTGATCCACCCGCCTCGGCCTCCCAAAGTGCTGGGATTACAGGCTTGAGCCACCGCGCCCGGCCCTTATTGTGGTATTTCTTAAATTTCTCATAACGATCCTATGAGGTAGGCTTCACTGTGTTTCCTTGAGTCTATGAAGCCATCAGTTTAATAAAAGATTTTCATGTAAAAATTGTATTAAACAGAGGCGATGAAGTTTCATTGTGCTGTGCTTTTCCTAAAGAAATATAGAACATATTCATTCATAACATAACCTCTTTATTCTTCAGGATAATAATACAAGTTTGAATCAAAGCCTTGATATTCAGAGTCACAGAATCTCCATGCACTACTGCTAATTGTAAAAAAAAAAAAAAAAAAAAAAAAAAAGTATATATATATATATAATGAAATTAAAATTTAAAAACAGAGTCAGAGGGTTTCTGGCTCCCTTTTAGCTGTGCCCGTTTGTTCTCCATGCCCCACCTGGGATTTCTTTAGCCCCTTTATTGTTGATGGTTTAATTTAGAGCAGAGCAAAGAACAGGGGCTCCTTCCGCATCTCCTGTTTTATTAAATGTGTGGTTTTCCCCCTCTTAATTAGATTGCCTGCCTTTTGACTAAGAATTACTTCACGGTGCATGGCAATCACAAAACCTCTCCTAGCTTTGAAAATCAGGTGATCTAAACTTAGAGATTTGCCTGAATCTGCACATGTGCAGGTATTGACATCCCAGTTTCTTCTGTCTGGTGACTGACAAGGTTATTATTGTTTTAAGCATTGATTACAAGATGCTATACTATTACTTGAAAAAAAAAATGTGTCCAGTATGGTGGCTCACGCCTGTAATCTCAGCACTTTGGGAGGCTTAGACAGGTGGATCACCTGAGGTCAGGAATTTAAGACCAACCTGGCCAACATGGCGAAACCCCATCTCTACTAAAAATACGAAGATAAGCCAGACATGGTGGTGTGCACTTGTAATCCTAGCTACCTGGGAGGCTGAGGTGGGAAAATTACTTGAACTGGGGAAGTGGAGGTTGCAGTGAACCAAGATCATGCCACTATACTCCAGCCTGGGCAACAGAGTGAGACTCCATCTCAGGAAAAAAAAAAAAAGTTTAAGGATATCTTAGAATTAGTTCTTAACACTGAAGGTTAAAGATGTTAAGCAGTTTACCTTCCATGTCACAGCTGGCAGGTGACTGGAATGCACACCAAGCCAGCTGGCTACTTCTAAACAACAAGGCTGTGATGGCTTCCTCCTTCTTTCTCTCTTGAATCCTCTTAATCCACCGTTCCTCCAAAACTGCTCGTCTTGGTTACCAAAGGCCTTCATATGGCCAAATGCATTGACTAATTCTCAATTGTTATCTTACTTCAGCAGCACTTGACACCATTTTTTTTTTTTTTTTTTTTTTTTTTGGAAACAGGATCTCATGGTATCACCCCAGCTGGAGTGCACTGGCATGATCTCAGCTCACTGCAACCTCTGCCTCCCGGGTTCAGGATATTCTCATGCTTCAGTCTCCCCAGTAGCTGGGACTACAGGTGCATGCCACCATTCCCCTTTTTCCTGGCTAACTTTTTATACTTTTAGTAGTGACTGGGTTTCACCATGTTGGCCAGTATGGTCTCGAACTCCTGACCTCAGGTGACACATCTGCCTAGGTCTCCCAAAGTGCTGGGATTACAGGCATGAGCCACCACTTCTGACACCATTCTTAGGAAACAGTTTCTTGACTTGGCTTTCTTAGGTCTTTTACATCCGGATCACCCTCAAAACCTCTACTACTCTTCTTTGTTTCTCCTCACCTGCCTTACCTCCAGATGCCAAGTGCTCCGTGTGAACCATCCTCGGGCTTCTCTTGTCTTTTCTGCATTCGCTCTTTGGTGATCCCATCTAGTCTTATAGCCACTTCCACACTCACAGCTCTGCCATGTACATCTGCAGCTGCCCACTCACCCTCCTGCCTACTCTCCATCACTCCCTAGATGCCAAATAGGCTTTGCAAACTGAATGCCTTCAGCCCAGCTCCTCTCTTTGTCATCATCCCTGATTCTGCTCTTTCTCTCACTCCCTACTTCTGATCCTTTAGCACATCTATCAGCTCAACCTCAGATTACATCAAAAACTGTTTTGTAGAGACAGGCTCTCGCTGTGTTACCCAGGCTGGTCTTGAACTCCTGGCCTCAAGTGATCCTCCTGCCTTGGCCTCCCAAAGTGCTGGGATTACAGACATGAGCCACCGCCACATCTAAAACTCAATCCACAGCTACCACCCTAGACTAGATCTATTAGTCATTCTGCAACCAGCTCACCACTTCTATCCTGGTCTTCCCCACCAGAAGCCAGAATGACCTTCCCCAGCCTAAGGCAGAACAAGGTGTCAACTGTTAAAAGCCATTGAGGGGCTCCTTGTCTCAACCTAAGCAAAGCCGGAGCTCTTAGAGCTGCACAGCCTCCTTGTTGTCTGGGGTCTGCTGGCTCCTGGCTTCTGTTTCTCCTTCCCAGCCTTGCTAATTGTTCTCCAGCCAGGCTGCTTCCCATGTAGGTCACACAGCCAGCCCCCTCTGCCTCATGGACTCAGGCTTTTATACTTTGGCCTTCTTCTGGTAACCCCTCTCCCCCCAGATTTCCACAGAGCTTACCCCTCATTTTCTTTTCTTTTCTTTCTTTTTTTGAGACAGGGTCTCCCTCTGGTTGCCCAGGCTGGAGTGCAGTGGCACGATTGTGGCTCACTGCAGCCTTGATCTCCGGGGCTCAGATGATTCTCCCACCTCAGCCTCCCAAGTAGCTGGGATTACAGGCATGCACCACTACGCCCGTCTAATTTTTGTATTTTTAGTAGAAACAGAGTTTCTCTAAGTTGTCCAGGCTGGTCTCAAACTCCTGGACTCACACAGTCTGCCCACCTTAGCCTCCCAGAGTGCTGGGATTACAGGCATGAATAGCTGCCCCCTCTTTTTCTTGAGGCCTCTTTAAATACTACCCTAACAAAAGAGACCTCCCTGCATAAAAGAGCCACTTCCCAGAAATCTGTTCTGTTCCCTCTCTTCCAGTTTCTCTCCCCAGCACTGGCACCACTTGCTATGGTACACATTGGTTTGCTTCTGGCCTCTCCACACCACTGTACCCCTAAGTTCCAGGAATGCAGGGACTGTGACTGTTTTAGTCACTTGCTGGGTCCTGAGTGCTTAGAGTAGAGGCTCGCCTGAAGTGGGCTCCCGGAGGATGTTTGTTTAATTATCAGACAAAGGAAGAAGGAATGGGGCACCTAGGAGTGGAGACAGAGCTGACCGCTGATACGCATTTTTCTACTGCCCGGATTTGGAAGTCGGAATAAGCACCCCTTAAACCACTGTTAAGGAATGTGCCATGACCACTCCCACCCAGGCTGACTTCTGTCTTGTGTCTCCTTCCAGGTCTACAGGCTCTCGCAGGCTCTATGAGGGCTTTGCTATGACCGCAGTCCCCTCGCGGAGACAAAACCGCCCCTTGCTGCCGCAGCCTCTCCAGGTCCCCGCCCCGCCCTGCCCCGTCCTCAGCCCTGCGTCACCATGGGCAGTGTCAGTAGTCTCATCTCCGGCCACAGCTTCCACAGCAAGCACTGCCGGGCCTCGCAGTACAAGCTGCGCAAATCCTCCCACCTCAAGAAGCTCAACCGCTATTCTGACGGGCTGCTGAGGTTTGGCTTCTCCCAAGACTCGGGCCATGGCAAGTCCAGCTCCAAAATGGGCAAGAGCGAAGATTTCTTCTACATCAAGGTCAGCCAGAAAGCCCGGGGCTCCCACCACCCAGATTACACGGCGCTGTCCAGCGGGGACTTAGGGGGCCAGGCTGGGGTGGACTTTGACCCGTCCACACCCCCCAAGCTCATGCCCTTCTCCAACCAGCTAGAAATGGTAAGCGGGGGTCTCTGGCAAGGGTGAAGTGGGTTGGAAAGGCAGGAGAGAGCAAAATGGGGGTAGAGAGCCTGGGGGCACAGCGGGAGTGGTGACCTAAGCATTTAGACTCCAAGAAACCAGAGCAGCAGGAGTTCAGGCGGAAGCCTTTGGCCACACCGCAGAGATCAAAGGTTGCCCAAAGGATTTAGAGCATTGCTCAGCCCCCCTGAAGCAAAAGTCTCGGGTCAGCCCATAAGCAAAGAGCACAGGGGGCATGTAAGCTTCCCGAAGCCACACTGAAATGTAGCTGGATTGGCATTTGCCAAGCCTTGAGAAGGAGAGGGAGCCCTGTTCTCATTTGGAAGCGCAGATGAAGAGGATGCAGGCAGGAAGCCAGCCGCTTCTCTCCCCAGAAGACTCATGGGGATGGGTCGAGTGTTCTCATTTTCTGCCCTGATGTGCAGTAGCTCCTTGTTCAAGCTGTGCCCAGGGGCATCTTTGAATATGGGCTGGAATTTTGTCTTCCATTTAGCAGAGCTGAGGGCAGAAGAGGCCCAGGCACTCAGAACTCCAGCCCTTACACCAGCTCAAGCCCTTGTGCATCCCACGAGTGGACACTGAAATCAATTTTCCTGTTCAGTTCTCTGCCCCTGCCCTGGGGAAATGAATCTAAGGCTTTCATTTACTAGGAAAGAGCCTCTTATGTTTGCATAGAGCATTCAGTTTTTCAATCTAAGGGGCTTGTAAACTGCAAAGCACTCCACCGGGGAAAATTACAGTTTTTAAAAAAGATTGTGATTTGGAGTGAGCCTCCAAACCCTGTGAGGAGGCCAGGTCAGTGTCTTTGCTCCAGGCTTAACTGAAGAGGCAGCAAACAGGAAGAAGGGATGGAACTAGGAGGGTCACCAAGCTCGGCCGGCCTAATGCTCTAACCTGCCCCATACAGAGACAGAGCAGGAGCCTCAAAATGTGTTTGTCACCTTAGGAGGGCTAGGACAAGCTGGTGGAAGGTTGCTATTTCATAGAACAAAGTGCCCAAGTCACCATTGACATTACCCAGGGACAGAGTGTTCTTTCCTTCTTAAGAGAGACCTTTTTTGTTCTTTCTGAGATGGATTCTTGCTCTTGTCGCCCAGGCTGGAGTGCAATGGTATGATCTTGGCTCACTGCAACCTCCTGCTCCCAGGTTCAAGCAATTCTCCTGCCTCAGCCTCCCAAGTAGCTGGGATTACAGGCATTCGCCACCACGCCCGGCTAATTTTGTATTTTTAGTGGAGATGGGGTTTCACCATGTTAGTCAGGTTGGTCTTGAACTCTCAACCTCAGGTGATCCGCCTGCCTCAGCCTTCCAAAGTGCTGGGACTACAACTGTAAGCCACTGCGCCCGGCCTCTTAAGAGAGATTTATCACACTCAGCTGCTTCAAAGCAACAGGAGAGGTCTGCTAAGACAGGTGACCAAGAGGGGTGCTACATGCGTTCTGGGAGCCCAAGTTGGCACACATGCCTGGGGGAGAGAGGGTATAGTGAATGCACAGGGGAGACATGAATCACCGTGGTCCTTTTCCTCTACAGGGCTCCGAGAAGGGTGCAGTGAGGCCCACAGCCTTCAAGCCTGTGCTGCCACGGTCAGGAGCCATCCTGCACTCCTCCCCAGAGAGTGCCAGCCACCAGCTGCACCCTGCCCCCCCCGACAAGCCCAAGGAGCAGGAGCTGAAGCCTGGCCTGTGCTCTGGGGCACTGTCTGACTCCGGCCGTAACTCCATGTCCAGCCTGCCCACACATAGCACCAGCAGCAGCTACCAGCTGGACCCACTGGTCACACCAGTGGGACCCACCAGCCGTTTTGGGGGATCTGCCCACAACATCACCCAGGGCATCGTCCTCCAGGACAGCAACATGATGAGCCTGAAGGCGCTGTCCTTCTCCGATGGAGGTAGCAAGCTGGGCCACCCAGGCAAGGTGGACAAGGGCCCATCGTGCGTCCGCTCCCCGATCTCCACGGACGAGTGTAGCATCCAGGAGCTGGAGCAGAAGCTGTTGGAGAGGGAGGGTGCCCTCCAGAAGCTACAGCGCAGCTTCGAGGAGAAGGAGCTTACCTCTAGCCTGGCCTACGAGGAGCGGCCGCGGCGCTGCAGGGACGAGCTGGAGGCCCCGGAGCCCAAAGGCGGCAGCAAGCTCAAGCAGGCCTCGCAGAAGAGCCAGCGCGCACAGCAGGTCCTGCACCTGCAGGTGCTGCAGCTTCAGCAGGAGAAGCGGCAGCTCCGGCAAGAGCTCGAGAGCCTCATGAAGGAGCAGGACCTGCTGGAGACCAAGCTCAGGTCCTACGAGAGAGAGAAGACCAGCTTCGGCCCTGCACTGGAGGAGACCCAGTGGGAGGTGAGGCCACACCGAGCTCATGGGCTTGGGTGGTCAGCGGTTTGTGCCAGTCCCTCTCCTCTCCTGGTGCCAGCCAATAGCGTGCAAACACAGACCTCACAGGCAAGTGGGGCTAATGTGCTGGCTTTATCACCCGAAGAGGGGCTCCCTGCAAACCATGCTGGGGAATTGACTTACCTCTGAGCTTCCTCCTGTCCTCGCCATCACCCTCGTGGCTCCCAGATTTCTGTTTCCCAAGTGAGCCATTGACCAAGAAGCTGGAAGCCAGGGTACTAAGGCCCAGCCAGGCTGTGGGCCGACCTTCCTCCAATCTGCTCACAGCCATGCCTGAGCTCACTCGGGGCCAGGGGCCCAAGAGAGCACAGAATGTATTTGTTGCTTGGAGGGAGGGGACGGCACCCACTAGTAAGAGGGGCCCCATTTATGGCAGGTTTCAGTGATGGAAGTGGCCACTCCTTGCAGAAGTGTAAAGGGAACTTCTATTGGGTGAACTGAGATGGAAACCTAGGAGAGGAAGGAAAGATTCTCACACTTACACACTCACACACACACACTCGGCCACACTTGGAAATGAGGCATCTGGACCTGACCATGCTGGAGAACCCCATAACCTCTGCATCCTGTTGGTGGGAAAGCAGCTTTTCTCAGCAGCTGGTTGGTCTGGATGACCCGTGAAGCTCAAGTCCATCGTTGAGGCTCTTTACGTGCTTGCACCCAGCTTGGTCTGTCCATGTGCCTGCCTCACCCCCAGTTCAGAGTCCAAACTTCAATCTATGCCCAACCCTGGCTACGTGCAAGTCAATGACCAGTGGTTTAGCCTGCTACTGGCAGCCACATCACCCCCCATTTAATACTAATGGTGTTGGTTTCTGTGCCAGGCTGATTTCTGTCATCCATGTTTGTGCCCACACCCTCCAACCTCACCCCTGCATGCACCCAGCCCTCCTCTTTCCTCTCTACTGGGGTAAAGGCTACATCGAATATTCACTGCCGTACCCAGTGATGAGCACCGTGCTGGCGTGGATGCAGAGCCCAGTCCACATCTGCCAAATGGGGAATCACTGTCTTCTGCTCTTGCCTTCCTTCTCCATTTCCATTCCTATCCCCCATCAAGAGCAATGATGAAAGCCGAAGCCACTGTGTCTCTGAATCTTGGCCATTGGGGTCATGGTGGCTCACTGGGAGACCAAAGCCGGGCTGGTTGCATCTTAAAGGTAAATGAAGGCCAGAGCATGTGGCTTGACAGAATGGATTCTTGGAACAAGCTTGGAAGCCACCTTAGTATTTCCTTTCACAGTAGAAAATTCCCCTTGCTCTCAGTGAAACACTGCACAGTCCTAGAGAAAATTCCACCCTCCCCAGGATGCCTGGTTAGGATCAATAATTTCATTCCAAGGCCAACCCTGTATTCATTTCATGAAGGGAGTGACATAGTTGTGGCTGAGGTGTGGGCCTGGCTTTGAACCTCAGCCTGACCTCTTATGGTCCAGGTGATTCTAAATACATTAGCTATGGTGGTAATGAGGCATAGTGATTAGACTATTAGGATCAAACCCTTGCTCTTTTTTTCTTTTTTTAGACAGAGTCTCACTCTGTTGACCAGACTGGAGTGCAATGGTACAATCTCGGCTCACTGTGACCTCTGCCTCCCAGGTTCAAGCGATCCTCCTGCCTCAGCCCCTCTAGTACCTGGGATTACGGGCACATACCACCACGCCTGGCTAATTTTTGTATTTTTAGTAGAGACGGGGTTTCACCATGTTGGCCAGGCTGGTTTCAAACTCCTGACCTTAGATGATCCACCCCCCTCAGCCTCCCAAAGTGCTGAGATTATAGGCATAAACCACCATGCCCAGCCCAAATCCTTGCTTTCACACTTTGTGTGTGTGTGTGTGTGTGTGTGTGTGTGTGTGTGTGTTGGCCCTCAGGCTGGTCACTTCAGCTCTTTACTATCATAGCCTCTCCATGCCTCAGTTTCACTGATGTAATAGTACCTACTTCATTGGGTTGTAAGGAATAGATGAGAAAATGTGGGGCTTAGCACTTAATAACACTATACATTATTAGTGAAAATATGTTTATAATAATATGCTTATATGTGGCCAGGAGTGGTGGCTCACACCTGTAATCCCAACACTTTGGAAGGCCAAGGCAGGCAGATCACTTGAGGTTAGGAGTTCGAGACCAGCCTGGCCAACATGATGAAACACTGTCTCATACTAAAAATACAAAAATTAGCTGGGCATTGAGGGGGCCAGGGCCTGTAATCCCAGCTACTTGGGAGGCTTAGGCAGGAGAATGGCTTGAACCTGGGAGGCGGAGGTTGCAGGGAGCCAAGATCATGCCAGTGCACTCCAGCCTGGGCGACAAAGCGAGACTCCATCTCAAATAATAATAGACTGTGTGTCATTATACATGATTATTATTATTTATCATTTTACTATATAGCTTGGCTCCATAACCTGGGGAAAAGGTCACAGCAATGCCAGCTTAGTTTCAGACTGGACAAAGAAGGCTAGAAGCCTGACACCAGGCCACCGCATCCGGAGTGGCTTGTTTATTTTAGGCAGCTGAACTGTCACTTCCCTGGATAAGGACACTCACCTCTTGGCACTCTGTCTCCACCCCACCCTTGGCAGGTATGCCAGAAGTCAGGTGAGATCTCCCTCCTGAAGCAGCAGCTGAAGGAATCCCAGACAGAGGTGAACGCCAAGACCAGTGAGATCCTGGGTCTCAAGGCGCAGCTGAAGGACACACGGGGCAAGCTGGAGGGCCTGGAGCTGAGGACCCAGGACCTGGAGGGCGCCCTGCGTACCAAGGGCCTGGAGCTAGAGGTCTGTGAGAATGAGCTGCAGCGCAAGAAGAATGAGGCGGAGCTGCTGCGGGAGAAGGTGAACCTGCTGGAGCAGGAGCTGCAGGAGCTGCGGGCCCAGGCTGCCCTGGCCCGCGAGATTGTGCCGCCCACCTTCCCTGAGGACGTGCCGGCCCTGCAGCGGGAGCTGGAGCGGCTGCGGGCCGAGCTGCGGGAGGAGCGGCAAGGTCACGACCAGATGTCCTCGGGCTTCCAGCACGAGCGGCTGGTGTGGAAGGAGGAGAAGGAGAAGGTGATCCAGTACCAGAAGCAGTTGCAGCAGAGCTATGTGGCCATGTACCAGCGGAACCAGCGCCTGGAGAAGGCCCTGCAGCAGCTGGCCCGTGGGGACAGCGCCGGGGAGCCCTTGGAGGGGCTGGAAGGGGCTGACATCCCCTACGAGGACATCATAGCCACCGAGATCTGAGGAGCTGTCTGGGAAGGCGAGCCCTGGGGACCTGGCACTGCGAGGCGGGGCTCTCCTGAGCATCCCCACTGCTCAGCAACTCAGACTCCTCGGAGAGACGCCACTCCCTGGGACACAGACCCAGGAGCCCCGAGGGGTGGACAGGATGGCCTTTCCTTCCCTCTTTGATGTCCCAGTGCTCACCTGCCCTGCAGCCCACCCGACCTCAGGCCCTCCCTCCCCTGGCTTTCCCAGGAAATGGGTCCAGGGGGTCTCTCTGCTTTGGTTTAGGGCTCTCTAATAAACTTTGGCCTTTGTTCAAAATAGAGATATCCTCTCCCCCTCCTCCAGGGAAGGTGGCCACACCAAGTACAGAGGCTCCCCTCCGCTTCTCAACCCAACCTCTTTTTCCTCCTGGACACACTGGAATGTCTTGGAAACAGAAGGAAGCCATATATGACCAGAAGCCTTGGAATCTGGCCCCATCACAACCTGAGCTATTTTCCTCTGGCCGCAGAGATGTAGGGTTGGAGTGAGTTGTGGGGGAGCTAGCTTTGAAACCTCAGGGCTGTCCCAGCCCTGGCAAGCCACAGGAAGGAGGGGAGAGCCAGGCAGTCTGGCAGTGTGGAGCCCTCACAGCCTGAGGAGGGCAGAGAGAGAAGCCAGGGGCGGGTGATGGCCAGTCCCTGGGGCCCAGCCCCTGTCTGCTGGTTCCACCAATGAAAACTGAGCAGCTTCTGGACAGCTGGTAGCCTTTGATCTCAGTGGCCACTCTTCAAGCCATAGACCCTAAAGCCTTGGGCTGGGTGCTGGGAAGGGAAGGTTGAAGCCACCTTGAACCAGAGGGTGTGGCTTCCCAGCTATCCTCGGCAAGCCTTCCCATCTGGCAGGGAGGCCCTACCTAGTTCAGGTTGGCTGGTGGCTACTCTGGAACGTTTTTCCTTCCCCAAAATTGAGCTTTTGCTTGATCCAGAAGAGATCTAACATGGCACATATGTGATCGGGGCATTTTCCTCCTCTGCCTACGGCCAGGTTTGGTGGCACATCTCTCCCCTTACCACTTCAGGTCTGAGTTCTGGGTTTCTATAGGTCAGGATGGGTCCTCACAATGCCAGGAAGCCAGAGCCCCAAGCAGGAAGAAAAAGAGGCATATACACGACAGTGTGGATAGCCTGGCCACCAGCCATCCCTCCTCCACCTCAAGGCCCCCATTTGTCCCAGACTAAAGGATCCAGAAAGCAGCTCCCTTTCTCAGGAGCTTGGGCAGTGCCCCAGGGAGTCTAGGGTTTCTCTGCAGATATGCAGAGCTGGAGGTGGTGGTAGAGAGGGAGAAAAGGTGGAGTCTCTCTGCTGTTTGATTCAGGGATTTTATTTTTGTTTTTAGGAGACGGGGTCTTGCTCTGTCCCCTAGGCTGCAGTGCAGTGGCATGATCATAACTCACTGCAGCCTCATACTCCTGGGCTCAAGCAATCCTCCTGACTCAGCCCTCCAGCTAGCTGGACTACAGGTGCATGCCACCATGCCTGGCTAACTTTTCTTTTTTTTTTTTTTTTGTAGGGATGGAGTCTTGTTTTGCCCAAGGTGGTCTTGAACTTCTGGCCTCAAGCAGTCCACCTGCCTTGGCCTCCCAAAGTGCTGAGACTGCAGATGTGAGCCATTGTGCCTGGCCAGATTTTTCTTTTTTTTTTTTCTTTCTTTCTTCGTTTTTTCTTTCCTGTCTTTTCAGAAGCAAGCCAGGCCTAGCAGGCTGTTCCATGTTCTATTTTTGACTGTAGCCACAGCTGCTGTTCTCAGGACGGCAGCCCTTCCCACATGCCTGCGCCTGCTGCCTGCTGAGGAGGGGAGCCTCTGGGAACTCGAGAGTCCAAGGCCAGTTCCCATGTCAGCCTCGCCCACCACTGGCCCTTAGAGACCCCAAGGTGGGGGTGGGAAGATGCTTCCTTCCTTGCCACCCGCCCTCCTGGGTCCCAGCCCTTCCCTGAGTGTAGGATGTGGGCAGAGTCACCTTTTCTGTGGCTGGCTCTGTCTTCCTGCCCCTGGGGTTAAACAATGCCCATCCTGCCATCCTCAAATGACAGAGGAGGTTTTCTGGAATTTCAAGCCATTGCTCTTAGTCACAGCCTAGGTTTAAACCTGGAATCTACAAGCCAAAAGTCCCTTGCTGCCTGAGGGCGGAACCCTCCATTGGGCACAGTTCAGACCCGAGTCAAAGATGTCCCATTCCTTGCGCCCTCCCCCGCTCCCCAGCCCTCAGTTCCTTTATTTTCCACCAGGCTGTACCTTGTTTGAGTTTTTCCTCCTGGTGAGACTGCCCCACGGAAAGAGAGGAAAGGCTGGCTCCCCATCCCCAGGCTGGAGACCCCCTACACCAAGAAAGAGCAGCCAGAGTCCAGCACTCTGCCCTCCGATGCTGCTGGAGAAGTAGTGGCTGCCACCCCCAGGGACAGGCCCTGAGACATGAGGCTGTGCTCCACTGTGGTGTGCTGGTGCCCTCCATATACAGGAGCACAGCCTTCTCCATATCTCCATGGCCCTGTCCCAGGGCAGCCCAGACATGTCCCCACCAGGCCTTGTTCGGTGTCTGATGTGGCAGATGTCTTTCCCAGGCTGCCACCAGCCCAGGCCCCAGAGTGGCCCATGGTGGCACTAGAATGCAAGTGTCCTGTGACTTACCAACCTCACCTTCCTGTGGGTTTTCTTTCCTGTCCTGTCCAAAAGCGCCCTCGCTCTTCTTGGACCATACCAGATTCCGCCTCTCTGGAAAGAGGCTCTGGACAGCAGAGGCCTCCAAGCATGGAGCCTGGCCCCAGGCCCCAGACAGGGTGGGCTTCCTGCCCTTTCTTCTGGGCACACCTACTGGCACGCTGGCCCACGCGGTCGAACGAACCTGCTGTGGCCCCAGAGGACGTCTGCAAGAGAGAACATCACGCCACACCACCTCACCAAGGATTGCACTCTGCCTCTGGGCCTTGGAATGTCTGGACTCTCCCGCGGTTCCCTCCTAGGTCTCCTGGTGAACTCCTGCCAGGCACACACAGCCCCTATAGCACTGAGCTCAGATGGGACTGGGGTATGGGGGTATCTCTCTCCAGAGAGGCATGTGCTCAGCCTCCTGTGCCTGGCCCGAGCCTGGGCCATCTCTCAGGTGAAACAGTTCCCTGAAACGAAGCCAGGCCAGGCTGTAGAAGCAGCAGCTTTGGAAGAGGGGTTTCCCTGCAGACCCAAGTCATCATGCAGTGGATGCTGCTATGACAGAGGCTGAACCCCTGAGCCAGCGGGACTCCTTACCCACCTCCTGCGCAGGTGGACTTCACGCTTCGCCTGCAGGCAGAGCTGGATCCCCCAACAGGGGCAGGCTGGGACGGACCAGCATTTGGAAGAAGATGTACATAGTTATTTTTCTCTTTGTGGTTTCTGGTTTGGTTTGGTTTGCTTTCGACAGCTTCATTTTCTTTCTGATGTCACTTTTTGGCCATGTAAACTATTTGTGGCAATTTTATGTTTTTATTTATGAATAAAGAATGCCAATTCTCACGCCCTCTGGAGCCCTCTGCTCTCCTTGCTGAGGCTTGGCAGCTCCCTGGGCACTCCCACCTTGGAATGGGAAAGATGACATCCCTTCCCCCAGTGAGGGGATGAGGGAGGTGACACAGGGCAGTGGAAAAAGGGGGCCGAGGGGTCAGATGCTTCAGCTGGCCCCTGCCCCTATCACCTACCCCGGGACCTCATCTGTGAAATAGAGGAAAAGAGTGTGCCCCTGTAGAGTCAGAGTATGTCCTCCAAAAGAGAGCTGCTCCCCACCCAAACCGCCTGCCCCGCTGGCTTCTCACCTCAACAGCCAACTCCTGGGTCTACCGCATATGGCCTCTTGGCAAAAGACCAGGATGGCTACAGTTGCCACTGCCCCAGGGCCCCCTGGCGGGGCAGGCATAGTCACCACTGTGGCCATCTGTCCAGCCTTCTTGGTCCCAGCCTGCCTGGTACCCCCTGACTACCTTCCCTACCATCCCGGGCTCTGGGCCTGCTGCTCAGGTGGTGGGAGACAGAAGGGACGTGTTATGAGGCAACTGAAAGCACAAGGCAGCCTAGGGCAGAACCTAAGGAGCCGATGACAAGGCCTCTGAGGGGCAGAAGGTTAGTGTGGGCTTGGGGGATCTGGGGAGGTGGCAGGCAGGAGAGGACCTGGGGTGAGCGTGGGACGTAAGGGGAGTGGGAGGGAGGAAAAGACCAGAAGCATGTCTCCGGGGCAGGTGTTCTCACAGCTCCCTGCCCGCCCCTGATGGGACAAGAGCAGCACCAGGGGTTGGAGATGCAGGAGGGCCAGGGTGCAGGGACCCCAAATGAAGCTAAAGTCACTGAGCCAGGACAGCAGCCAAATTCTTTTTTTTTTTTTTTTTTTTTTTAATGAGACAGAGTTTCGTTTTTGTTGTCCAGGCTGGAGTACAATGGCACGATCTCGGCTCACTGCAACCTCCGCCTCCTGGGTTCAAGTGATTCTCCTGCCTCAGCCTCCTGAGTAGCTGGGATTACAGGCATGCGCCAACCATGCCCAGCTAATTTTGTATTTTTTTTTAGTAGAGACAGGGTTTCTCCATGTTGGTCAGGCTGGTCTCAAACTCCTGACCTCAGGTGATCCACCCACCTCAGCCTCCCAAAGTGCTAGGATTACAGGCATGAGCCACTGTGCCAAATTCTGACTAACATCCCCTCGCTTTGGGACAAAGAGGTCATGTCAGACCTGGGGTAACTCTTCCCTGTCTTCCTCCTAGACCTGGCCCAGGCTGGTGACCTCACTAAAACATTCCTCTCACTAATCACACTCTTGGGTCAGCCCTTCCTCTTTAATTGGAGCAGGCCTAGAGACTCACTGTAACTAACGGGATATAGCAGGAGTGAGGCTCTGCTAGTTTCAGCCAAAACCTAGAAGGCTTAGCAGCTTCTACTTTTATTATTTGAGACATCGTCTCACTCACCACCCAGGCCGGAGTGCAGTGGTGCGACTGTGGCTCACTGAGGCCTTGACCTTGTGGGCTTAAGCAGTCCTCCTGCCTCAGCTTCCTAAGTAGCTAGAACCACAAGCATGTACCACCATGCCTGGCTGATTTTTTAATTTTTTGTGGAGATGGGGAGGGGTCTCACTATGTTGCCCAGGCTGGTCTTGAACTCCGTGCCTCAAGTGATACTCCTGACTTGGCCTCCCAAAGAGCTGGGATGGCAGGCATGAACCCCCATGCCTGGCCAGCTTCTGCTTTTATATTCTCGAAAGCCCTGAGCTGCCATATAAGAAGCCCACCCTCCCATCTTGCTGGAAACACCACGTAGGGCAGGAAGGGCCACTTGTCCCAGAGTCTCAGCTAGGTCCTGTGTGCAGCTGAGCACAGCGGAGTGACTACCCAGGACCCAGCTGACCCCATGGGGAGCAGAGTGTTCCCCACTCTGCCCTGCCACAATCCTGCCCCTCAGATCCCTAAGCACAGTAAATGACCGTGTTTAAGCCATTGAAGTTAGGGGGATCTATTACAGGGCCTAAAATACATCACCAAAACGCCAATGAGCACGCCCTTTTGCTTGCCACCTGACAAGCCTCTCTCCATCCAAAGGGCTCAGAAAAACATAAAAAAGTACCCCTAGGAAAGCACCAGGCTGCCTGGGGCACAGTGGCTCACGCCTGTAATCCCAGCACTTTGCGATGCCAAGGTGGACGGATCCACTTGAGGTCAGGAGTTCGAGACCAGCCTGGCCAACATGGCAAAACCCAGTCTCTGGTAAAAATACGAAAATTAGCTGGGTGTGGTGGTGGGTGCCTGTCATCTCAGCTACTTGGGAGGCTGAGGCAGAAGAACTGCTTGAACCTGGGAGGTGGAAGTTGCAGTGAGCTGAGATCACAGCACTGCACTCCAGCCTGGGCAACAGAGTGAGAGTGAAGAAAACGAGAGAGAGGAAGAAGAGGGAGAAGGAGGGGAAAGGGACAGGGAGAGGGAGAGGGAGGAAGGAAGGAAGGGAGGGAAACCACAGAGCCATGGGAAAGACTGTTCCAGCTGGAAGAGGAGCGGCGAGGCAAGGGGGCAAAAGAGTGGGGAAACCAGAGCTTTCCTGACCCCATTTCCTCCAGAGCCCTGCCTAGGAAACAGCCTTCCTGGAGCCTCCCAAACATGCTTATTGTTTTATTTTTTATCTTGTTTTGTTGTAGAGACAGGATCTCACTATATTGTCCAGGCTGGTCTCAAACTCCTGGCCTCAATACTCCCACGTCAGCCGCCAAAAGTGCTGGGATTACCGGCATGAGTCACCCCCCACCCCGCACCCCACCCCCTGCCTAATCAGCTCTCTGCTTATTTCTTCAGGAAAAATAATAGAACAAAAGGGAAAGGAGAGAGAGAGAGAGACAAGAAACAAGGAGAAAGGGAAAGAGGGACAGAGAGAGGCTCCTCCTTCCTTGACAACAAGCAGCTCAATCCTTAGCCTCCACCACATGCAATGCACAATCTCAGAATATTTTTATCGAGCCCCAGACGGACTCACTGCACAACAGAGCCTGTGAGAAGGGAGACAGTCGGTGATCATCCCAGAGCATCCACGGCAGCAGGTGTTTTCTGAGTTATTTAAGGAAGGTCATGCTGTCCTCAAATATCTCCCCAACCCAGGTGCCACAAGGCCTGAAATATCACAATTTCATGCATGCATGTATTCCTTCAATAAATATTTATTGAGCTCCTACTTTTTGCTAGTCCTGTTCTAGATGCCAGAAATACAGAGGTGAGGCTGGGCACAGTGGCTCATGCCTGCAATCCCAGCACTTCATCTGAGGTTGGGAGTTCGAAACCAGCTTGACCAACACAGAGAAGCCCTGTCTCTACTAAAAATACAAAACTAGGCAGGTGTGGTGGCACATGCCTATAATTCCAGCTACTCAGGAGGCTGAGGCAGGAAAATCACTTGAACCCAGGAAGCAGAGGTTGCAGTGAACTGAGATCGGCCATTGCACTCCAGCCTGGGCAACAAGAGCAAAGCTCCATCTCAAAAAAAAAGAAAAGAAATATGGAGATGAACAAAGCAGTCAAGGTTCCTTCTCCTGGTAAAGTTTACACTTTGGAAGAAAACAAATAGACAATTTTCTATTGTCATAAGTTCTATAAAGAAAATAAACAGGGTGATATAAGCTATCTATGGATAAACTGGAGGTGCTCTAACTGGGGTGGATTGAGTGAGCTATGGAAACTGGTACAGTGAAAGATAAGTTGGAGAACCACAAACATCACCTGGTATCACTATCTTGATAGCCCATGCCAGCCACTATTCTTTTCTAACTTGGATTCCCCACTCCCCATGACAAATTCCTTCTCTCAGAAATCTCTTCTTGGCTGGGTGCGGTGGCTCATGCCTGTAATCCCAGCACTTTGGGAGGCCAAGGAAGGCAGATCATTAGGTCAAGTGTTCAAGACTAGCCTAGCCAATATGGTGAAAGCCCATCTCTACTAAAAATATAAAAAATTAGCCAGGCATGGTGGTGGGCACCTGTAGTCCCAGCTACTCGGGAAGCTGAGGCAGACAAAATCTCTTGAATCTGGGAGGTAGAGGTTGCAGTGAGCTGAGATGGTCCCACTGCACTCCTAAAAAAAAAAAAAAAAAAAAAAGAAAACAGAAAAAAGAAAACGAAATCTCTTCTTTGGGAGTCTCAGTAGGGGTGTGTGTGTGTGTGTGTGTGTGTGTGTGTGTGTGTGCATGCACTCAAGACAGGGTCTCACTGTAATGCAAGCTGAAGCAGCTCACTGCAGCCTCCACCTCCTGGGCTCAAGCAATCTTCTGCCTCAGCCTCCTAAGTAGCTGGGACTATAGGTACACACCACCATGCCTAGCTAATTTTTGGATTTTTTATAGAAATGGGGTCTTGCTATGTTGCCCCGGCTGGTCTCAAACTCCTGAGCTCAAGTGATCTGCCCACCTCAGCCTCCTAAGTGCTGGGATTACAGGTGTGAGCCACTATGCCCAGCCCTCGGCAGACACCTTTTTATCTTACCAGGGCACTTGCAGCTTTTCTTCCCTAACCTCAGCTTTTCTTGCTCCCCACCCCCTGGACAACTCTACCTTTCTCTCTATCTAAAACAAACCCCTCCTACCACTTCTCAGTAAAGACCTTTGAAAAGCCTTAAGCATTAAACACTGTTCTTTTCACACAAGAAATTAAAGAAAATTTTGTGAAATGGCACAATTCTTATACAGATGCTGAAATTAAAATGGTTTCTTTCTAGGTAACTTAATTAAAAAAATGTTCAGCTTTAATTAACTTATCCACACATATATTTTAGAGACAGCCTCTCTGTCACCAAGGTTGGAGTGTACTGGTACAATCATAGCTCACTGCAGCCTCCAACTCTTGGACTCAGGTGATCCTCTGGCCTCAGCCTCCCGAGTAGCTACTAGCCACTACACCCAGCTAATTTTTTACTTTTTTTTTATAGAGATGAGATCTCACTATGTTGCCCAGGTTGGTCTCAAGCTCCTGGCCTCAAACAATTCTCCTGCCTTGGCCTCCCAAAG